ACATAGAAATACTGAAGCGAAGAACTCATTGAAGAGCTCTGCTTTTTTCCCCGCATCAACCACCAACTGTCCTGATTTGTCCTGCAGGGGCCCTATGTTGCTCTGAGCTTTCCTTTTGCCTGCTATATACCTGAAGGACTTTTTATTCTCCTTAATTGTTGAAGCCAGCCTGAGCTCAAGCCCCACCTTGGCCTGTCTAACTGATTCCCTGCAATTGTGCACCAGGGAGATATATTCCTCCTTGGTGGCTGCTCCCTGCTTCCACTGCCTATACATCTCTTTCTTTGCCCCCAGACTCTCCTGGAGTTTCCTGTTCAGTCAAGGGGGCTTTTTTGCCCCCTTACCTCCCTTCCTACACAATGGGATAGACTCCTTTTGAGCCCCAAGGATCACTCCCTTGAGATACCTCCAACCCTCATGGACCCCCATTTGCTCTATATTCTTGAGTTGCATCCCCTCACTAACTAGCCTTCTAAGCTGACTAAAGTTGGCCCTTCTGAAGTCCAGCACCTTAGCCCCACTAGTTACTTTACCCACCCTTCGCTGGATAGTGAACTCGACCAAGTGATGGTCACCATCTCCCAGGCTACCATGAACTCGCATGTTCCCCACGAGATCACCCCCTGTTGCAAAGAGCAGGTCAAGCAAGGCGCTACCCCTGGTGGGACTAGATACCAGCTGGGTTAGGTGGAGGTCCTGCACACAGTGTTAACATAAGTTTGGTTTCACTGTGCTCCAGTCCAGGGCCAGTATAGCACATCTTTGAATTAATTTTTGAAAGGATAGTGTAAACTCTCGACTCTGTGCAAACTAAGGAAGGCCCAAAGGAAGGGTAAAGGACCTGCAACGGCCATTAGATGAACATCTTCTTGACTTATCAGATGTCTAGGAAAAAGATTGGACACCAATACACCATACAACTAGTATCCATCCAGCATTGACTCTTGCACACTCTACCCCCGTTCAAGTCACTTATGCTCATTTTGACTCAATTCAGGCATCTACAAAATAGGTATAATCATCTGTGTCTGTTATGCAAGGTGCATTCTTACAGTTGCTTGGTGATTGTAAAGTGCTTGGAAAGTAGACCTGGCAGCATACTAATAAACACAAAGTGTTGTTATTGTGAAGTAGGATAAGTATTTCTTAGCCGTTTGCATGTATGAACACCTATCACCTGCCATTTGCAGGTACACTATCTAATCGGTGACCCTTCTTCCATGTAGCAATAAATAGATGCCTTCATGCTTGTTGCTGATCCCCTTTCCTAACTGAGGACCTCTGTAGTACAGGCCACAGTATACGGTCAATTATGTGCCGGCCACTTCATTTTGGGACCCTGTTCTGACCTCTGAGTGACATAATCTAGGACAGCTTGATTAAAGACAGATTCATTCTGGATTGATGTCTGTCTAACTGAGAGTAAAATCTGGCCCTTTTATTTCAAGGGGCAAATGAATTTATTTCAATCACCAGAAGCTGTGTTGAAACAAAATGTGAAATCTCTGATGCCATTGCATCTTGTGGTGGTCTTTGCTGGTGTGTGAATATATGTGTGGGAAGGCTTCATGGAAAAAGAACTGCAATTTTAGATGTTTAGATTCTTGTTCCAAGGGGGCGGAGGAGAATTGAAACTGTACTTATGTGGGGAATTAAAAAACAGCGCGTAACTGAAAAAATTGCCAAAACCAGCTAAAACCTAAGGCCAACAGAACAACAATCGCAAAGTCAAACATTTAAACAGAGAATGTAGTTTGCTGGCAGCTGTCATATGGCTGAAACAATTGGGTTTAAAGCTTAGTTCTGGCTAATGCTGCATTAAAAAAAAATGCATGACCTTAGAGCATGGAAAATGACACAGTTTTATATAATGACCTACATACTCTATGTGCTCTGTGGCTGCTTCTCATTCTCAGTTGCCTCATTGTAATAATAATAATCATAATAATAAAGTGAAACTCAGCTTTTGTTCAGAAGTTTTTGATAAGAAAAGCCATGCTGGATTGAACCAATGACCCATCTGGTCTAATATTTTGTGTCTCTGTTAGTTGCCAGTATCACGTGCCTCGGGAGGAGGGTACAAAAAATCTGGAATAAGCTTTCCTACCTTCTCAGGCAAAGGCTGACATGTGGTCTTAGCATGATAAAGGCCTTCAGGCAGTAATCTTAGTTCATGTTATATGGTTAACAATAAGCTTGCCTTTACCTGTTTGCCTACATACACAAATACTTCTGTTATGTTTGTCACCATAATATCAAGTGCCTCTTATCTCTCTTCACAGAAAATAAATTTATACTTGCTGACCTCTGCCCAAGAAAAAAGTGTTTCTTTTTCATCTGAGTCACTAGAACCATACTTCACAGCCTGAGCTTGTCCATAAAGCATTTTACTCCAAGCTTATGGGTAAAATTTACTAGAATTCCTATGTGCCTGGATCACTTAAACGTTTCCAGAACTGTCATTCCAAATCTTGACTCTGAAGAAAATTGAGATTTGGTTCTGAGCTCTGGCCGTATCTGTTTCAGAGAGAGTTACCAAGTTGCCAAGCAAGCCTTTGGAAAAAAACAAACTTGGTTGGTTCCAGAAGCTATATCCCAAGTGTAGTACGACACCCAGCATGTAGCATGACAAGGCTTTCAAAATCTCAAGGAACAGAGCCATGACAACAAAAATATGTAAAATCCCTATATGTTCTCAGTCTTGGTTGTTATTTACACTTATAATGTATATTAAAATCCCTTTAGTGTTACAGGGTGGCAATGAACCTGGTTTAATTCCAAATTCAGATTTGAATTCCTCAAAAGTTTGAAGCTATGTAGACATGGGATGTTGATTAGTTGAATGTAGTTTTTCCCCCTCAATTTCATTTAGCAGACACTGAGTTAAAACTTGGTACATGCACAGTCTGATACTCAAAGCAAATAGGAATCTGTCATGTAGAGAGAAGTCTAATCTGAGACATGCTATAGCAAGTGGCCTTTAGAAAAGAATGGAAGGTGCAGGAAAAGGGCAACCAGGATGACCATGGTATGTAATCACAAGGTTGTATACTCAGAGAGAACCAGAAGACAACAGATGGGACTTCTGTTCTTAAATTACTAAAGTACTTCTGAAATGCCCATCCTAGAAAAGCACAAAATGTGAATGACATCAGCTACGTGAACCAACTATCTGTCGAAGCTTTTTCAAAGATTAATCAAGTTAAATCTTAAGAGTAATTGGCTACATGTTGTTGTCAGGGTTTTGTGTAGAGCTACCTCTGAAGGTGCAGTCTACCTCCTTCCATTCTTCCCTCTGCTATGGAGAACTATGTTAACCCAGTGTCTGCAAGCTGACAAAATACCATGAGACCCCCACTAGTGTCTTTATTTTGATGATTAGTGTCAATGCAAAACTGTAATCTTAACCTATTAAGATCCTGATCTCATGGAAGTCAAGGGCAAAATGGCCATTGGGGGGTTTGGGTTTTTTTGTTGTTTTTTTTTAAGAACAGAGGTGGCCCTAGAATTAGTACGATTTACCTGCAGTCTGGCACTGAGTTGGCAAGTAGGCCTAGCGGCACTATGCAAAGTCATTGACAAAGTCAAAGAAGAGGAATAGAAGCAATACCAAGCAACATGGAAGCAACGCCATTAAAGTGATGCAAAAAGGCATTTAAGCCACTTTAAAAACCAATTTTGTGGAGTATACAAAGGCCCTATAAGTATAATCAATTGGATTGCAACGTAATTCAATATTTGCATAGGTGCTCACTGATTGTATTAAGACGCATACAGTTTATGCACAGAAAGGTGCACTTGCTGGGTTAATCTCACTTTTCTCCTAGTTACCACAGTGTAAAGAGGAAAATTCCTGGTCCAGTCCCAATCCCATTAAACCCAATGGTAAGTCTCCCTGTGAATTCACTGATAGCAGGATTAAGGCCTAATTTGTGTTTGGTCCTTTACTAGACAAGAAGCCAAAAGAGTTGAATTGTAGGCCTATAATATCTTACATTTTATTATCACTGGTACAGTGCAAACGCTGGTTTAGATTTAAGAATATTTCCTTCATTCATAATGCACTTGAGCTGAAAGCTTTGCACAACGACCTGGTGAATAAACCAATGGAACCTACCCAAAACCGTGCATTGTGACACAGATCAGCACAAATGTTGGTTTATTTGTTTAGTGCTGTGTTAAGGGTCTAATGTAACAATCATATATTATGTCAGTGTACAGCCTTACGTATTCACATGGAGCATAAATTACGGTGTTCTGTATTTCAAAGCTGAATGCAAGGGAAGATTTTTTTCCCTGTTCAAGGAAACACAACAGGAGTGTTATTGTTATACATCTGTTCAGCTCATCTTTTTAGGTAATCCACCAAAGAAATAATTAAAGCAGTGGCATAACTGTGTATAATCAAACTAATATCTCCTGCAATAATTGTTTTCCCAGATCAGGAAGTGTCCTGCACCACTGGAATGAAATTTATTTTTTTGTGGAACATCTGGCCCACAAATTCATAAGGTAAGAAATAACCAAACTGCTTCACGTGAGCCAAGAACTAGAGACTAGGCCTGTACAAGGCAGCTGGTATTCGCTTCAGATTCAGCCGATTCAGGGGACAGCGGTTCGATTCGGTGATTCGAATCACTGTCCCGAATGGATTTGGCTGAATTGCCCAGGCACATCCCCTGCCTTCCCCAGCTCCCGGCACTTTGAAGAATTAAAAAAATAAAAATAAAAAAAAAATAATAAAAAAAAAGCCCCGACTAACTGCGTGCTGCTCGGTGGTGGGGCAATCTCCGCTGCCCCGTGCTGTGTGGGGGGCTGCCCCTGACCCCTCTCTCACGCTCTCTGTCCCCCCACCCCCCCATGGCTGCTCTGTCTGCCCCAGCTCCAGCACTTTAAGAAAAAAAAACCCCTAAAACCCCCTCACTCACTGTTCCTGCCGGGCAGGGGAGGAGATCCCCACTGCCCTGCACCATGTGGGGGGCTCTGCATGAGCTCCCCCGAAGCCCTGAGGACATTGAAGAAGCAATGAGTCCTGGGGTTTTTCATGGGTTTTTTTTCTTAAAGGGCCGGAGCTGGCTTGGGCGGGGCACCCATGGGGGAAACAGCCACGGGATGGGGCTGGGGGAGCAGGTATGGGTTGGGTGGGGCTGGCAGGGTGCCCCCCCACTCCCCTGCCCCCACTTATCAGCTCTGAGTCCAGCTGCAGCTCCCTGCTGCAGCCACCCGGGACTGTCCAAATCATCGAAGCTCTCTGAATCTTTTCTGAAGATTCAGAGAGCTTCAGATCAATTTGGACCTTTTAACTGGTCCCCTGATTCAATTTGGATTTGGAGGTTTGGCCACCAAATTGGGCTGAATCTCCTCCAAACTGAATCAGCACCCGAAGCCTTGCACAGCACTACTAGAGACCATATCCTCAACTGGTGTACAGATGTGTACTGATTCACAACAACTGAAGAATTCACTATACATCTCTTTCTGGAGATGATTTATGCTCTTGTTTTCCTGAAATTAATTGAAGTCTTTGCATTGAGATTACTGACTAAAGATGAGCAGGTTTTGGCCCAACTATTCTAGTCTCCAGGAGATGGACTAGATGAATAATTAGTCTTTTTTTTTTTATATATATCTCATTTCTACCTGTAGAAGTATTACAGGTATTTCTAAGTCTGTTGCTTCCTGGGTGTGTCTACATGTGACCATATGGTGATGCTGCTATGGTGCAGTGCTTCCTTTTGGAAGTAATCCTTGGTACTCCTTTTGGAAGTACTAAAGCATTGCGCAGTATGGGTGGTTACTGCACCATGCATGCAGTGCATGGGTAGATTTTGCTGCTACAGTGCCGTAGCAGTGCACTATACCCAGGGAGCACACCATAGCAGTGTGCTATACCTGGGGAGCACACTGCTACAGCGACAGAGCTGGTGATCACATGTAGAAACTCGTGATTACTACGTCATATTAAGCGGATGGGCAGGTTATGATGTAACTCCACTATGGGGAGTAGTTTGCTTCTCCTGGAACTGGTTCAGCCCAGTATCTTTCTTGTGAGTGTAAAGACCTGTGGGGAAGTCCTTTGGACCAGATATCAAATGAATAAGTGTTGGAACACAAATTAGTCTCCCCGCACTGCCACATGATATTGTGATCTCCTGAATTCCTTCTTTCTTGTGTCTGTGGCCTAATGGCATCATGGGATTCATACCAACACAATTAGCATTCACTTCCCACAGCCTTATAAAAAGAGATGATACTGCATAAAACTCCCATCTACTGATTCTAACCCTCACTGCCTATACCTTCATCCTTCTATGAAGCAATAGACATAGTAGCAGCTGCAAGGTCCCTGCTTTGGTTGAGTGAATGGTGTGCTAGGCACTATGCATACATATGATGAGAGAGTCTCTACCCCAAAGTCATTCACTTTCCACTTTGTTCTCCTTTGCCAGCCCCCAGCTGAGGATGTCTTTTATTGTTTTCTCAACAAGAGGCACCACTCTTATGAGGTTAACTGAAGACAGGTAAGAATTCTTGGGACCGTGACTTGTTTGTTTTTTGCACTATTCTCCTTTTCTCTGGCTAATATTTTCTGGGAACAGCTTGGCAGCTTTTTGGTATTTCTTCTCTTAATTGTTTCTATCATGTGGCAGTGGTGCTAGAACTCTGGAGGCACAGACTGGCTGACAATTTTTCACTGACATTTTTTCCCCTAGTGGAAGGTGGCTGTTTTGACTTGACACAAGTTTTCATAGGGCACTTCTAGTCCCAAAGGGTGTAATCAAGAAAACTGAAAACACTTTCTTTTTTTTTCCAGAAAGCCAGGACGTAGGGTTTTTCTGATGAAAAGTCAAGACTATGTAATAACTCCCCCCTCCAGTTTCCAACCATCCTGTGTAGAGGTCAGATGGGAAACCCTAGGCCTTGTTTGGGGTTTCAGTACAGAAATGAAGGCTGGGAAGAAGGGTAACTGGAGAGAAAGTGGAAGCCAACCTTCACCCTGTAAAATCCTTAATTTCTTTTGTGATATCACAAGGTCCTTGTCCTCTTCCTACCAAGACATGCATAGTTTCCCCATAACCTGTCCTTCTGCTTCAGTTTTCCCTCCATTTCTTTAGCTGTGTTCCTATTGTACAATTCTTCTCTTACTCCTACTCTCAGCTTTGCACTGTCATTTGTACTGCTTTTGGCTCTTGAAACCCTTTCCCCTTCTACTTACCAGCTCATGTGAATTTACCCTGCTTGAACCTGCCTCTTGCAGAAATCTTCATTATGTGGATCCCTTTCTTTACCATTCTCCTGATGCCTTCCTTAGTCTACTTAAAACTGTTGCTCCATGTCCTTATAGTGAGTTCTACTAGATGTGGTTGGATCTTGGATATTCTGTGCCAAAGAAGACTTTTGTCACTTGAGCAAAAAGAATGATCTCTTAACCACCATCAGTAGTAGGCAATCTTTTTTATGTTGACTACTTAGTAGGGGTCTGGCTTTACAAGCGTATTCCAACTTGTCATGTCTCTGCTTTCCTCCTCTTTCTGAAATGGCAGGCTCTTCAGGGTAGAGGAGTGGTCTTGCTGGAGATTTGAAAAGTGTTGTTTAAAATTTCAGTGTTGCACACTTAACCTCAGTAAAGTGATCCAGAATGCCATTGTGGGTTCAGAAGAGCAACTGAACAAGCAGGTCAGAGGAACTCGATTGGGAGTAGTTGTTATGGAGGTGATCTTGTCTCTGTGTGTAACTGCAAAAGCAAAAGGTATATGAGAATTCTGCCTTTTCAAAGAGTTGTGCACTTGCATGCTGAAAGCAGGGGAGGCATGGGAAGGATACATGTAAGACTTAGGCTAGGATTTGTCATCAAAGTTGCCTAAGTAGTTTGGACATCTGGTTTCCATTTTGATCTCTCTAGGTAGTTTTGATGAAGTCACAGCCTCACACATGCTTAATTCTGGATTTTACAATTTTACTTGAGCATCTTGGAGCTTTTCATGGAGCAGAATCTCTGCTCTAAGGAGGAGAAACTAAATGGTCAGAACAACCCATGCTTCTGTTTATTCATAGCATGGGAACTACCTTTACTCTCCTGTGAAATTTCTACGGGTGGATTATTCGCCATTTTAAAAATGAACATCAGCCAAAGTAACTTCTCTCCCTGTCCACCCCCAGACAGCCAGAACATAGAGCTGGCAGCAGGGTCCATAGCTAGCTCACCCCCAGAGGAAGCATCTGTTGTCCAGACTTGGTGTGTTAGCCAGGTCTGATCTGTGTGAATTGCACATGTGAGGTGTTTGACTTGGAGTGTGTTGACAAGACAAAAAAGAAACAAGTCAAGGCAAGAGAGACCCTCCTCCTCCTCTAATTCCCCCCATTTCTGATTCCTTCATCTCTTCATGATAAAAGATGAGGAACTGGGTAGCTTCTGCTGTTGCTGCCAAAGGCCCTGTGTTGTTTGTTCCATAGGTCTCTAGGCTGCCTTTTTCAGGCCACTGTGCTTTGGATCCAGATTCTCAGCCTATTCTAAGTACTACATTGAAGTGGGTGTTGAGCTGTATGAGTATTCACAGGTATTAGTAATGGATGTTACATTAATGCAAAACTTTCAAAAGAAAGTGATTAAACAAGGAGCTATAAGGTAGACAGAGGAGCTATGTGGGTTACTGGACCAGACCACTTTGTAATTATAATGCTTCTAGAATGTTTTCTCATCATTCCCTTCTAGACCTAGATCTAACCTTCAGTAAAAGGAGCGGGAGTATTCTTATTGAATTCAGGTCCTTAAACACTACCATTTCCTCTTTTAACTTCATTGCCACGTGGAACAAAAAATATATGCAACATATGTGAGTGCTATATAAGTAGCATCTGTTTTACATATTGGGCTCCTATGAGATTGCATTCAGGCATAGCTGTTAGAGTTGAATTTATAGGAAATTGGCTACTTTCCTGTGGTATAGTCCACATGCATACCAACCTAAAAAGCGTCATTACAGTTGGCCCCCTTGGTGTAAAAAGTACTCCCCTTCCATTTGCTGTAATACATGAGGATAATGAGAAAATTAATGGTATTTAATATATATATCGGAAGAAACCCTAACCCCCTTCCTAATCAGCAAGGAGAATTTTGTAAGGCTACAGGTTACACTTGTAAGAAGACTTATTACCTGTGTATATGAAACACATGCATTTATTTCTTTTCTCCATAGGGAATCTATCAACTCCCCCCACTGTCCTAGAAAAGATGTTCACTTCAGGCAGGATAGAAGAGTGGCAGTAGCCAAAACTGAGATAGCAAGAGGCTGTAGATCTTCTGTTTTAATTGACAGTGACAGATAGAAGTCTATAATTGGTAAAAGGTTTCTCAATTACTTTTAGCAAGACAACTTGGGGTAATAGTTTAGTTTGGGAAGAGTATGCTGCCGTTGTAGTATACCATGCAGTATAGTATACATTACAAATGGAAGGACTCCTGCTTACATGGAGTGCTTTGCCTGTCAATCACCAGCAAACAGAATTTTATCAGTGAGAAGCTGTAAAGATCCAGGGCTGAAAGAACCTGAATCAGCCTGAAAAATGTCACTGAGGTGAGATGTATTTGTTTAAAGGACAAGGGATCTTGTTCAGAGAGCATAGGACCTGGCTTTCTGGAGTTTCCATTTCATCCTCTCTCTTCTCTGTCATTGCTGAAGTGTCCCTTAGGGTTGGATCAAATCCATTTCTAGATTAACCCCTGAACTCCCTTAAAACAAATGGCATTACATCACGGAATACCTTTTAATATCTAAAATCAACCAGAATTTCTCAGTATTTAAGCTTTTTTTCTATTGTGATTTCATTCTTCATATCCTATTTTCCCTTTGACTTCTGGCTGGGACTAGCAGTGGAAGTATCATGATATCTAAGGAAGTATGTTCTGTTGATTTTGTTGGGCTGAAGGTATCGTTTTTGGGGTCTTGCTGGGCCCTGGGATTTGTGGAGGGGAGGGGACAGCCTCGCTTTCTACTTGAAACTGGGAAACAGTAGTCCCTGATTTTTTATTTTAAAATTTTTGTTTTTAATTGACCAGTCCAGGAAATATTCTAGAAGGCAAAGGTTGATGTGTGTAGGACCATGTGGGTAAAAACAAATTCAGCCTCAAAGCCTAGAGTGTCAGTGTGGTCCAGCCAAGAATAATGTCTTTATCCAGTTCCCATGAAGATAGCATTAGTTCATTTAGAGATACCACACTCTGGACAAGACTCTATCTTGCCTTGAAAGGCACTGATGTCTGCAACTCAGTGAAACAGTGCAAGGCCCGCCCCACTGAATTTGATCTGTCAGTATGTCTAGGTGTCCAAAAGATGAAAGGAGACACCCTGAATTATGAAGCCTTTCCCATTAGCTCATTATTCCTGAAGCTGGTTTGGACAGGAATTGAAGGGGTTGTATTCACATATCCTGGAGCCTGCAGGATGATTTTAGATTATCTATATCACTTTCATGGCTCTTTGATTCAGTTTGTATCCTCATCCAACACAACTGAGGAATAAGAGCCAGATGCAAGTCAGCAGCTCCGCTTGTACATCTTGAGAATAGGCTGAGTTTATTAAGGGAATATGTGTTTAGAGAGGTATGTTTGCCAGAATACCAGACTAGGGGAGAGTTTTCTGTTGTGATGCTTTTTCCAGGCTGTGGGAATATCAATCAAGAGCAAATCCGGTCCATCTTTCACACCCATAAAGAGAAACTCAGCCAAACACTCCCCTCTAACCTAATTTTTTTTTATTTTTAACAGGAGGCATTTAATTATTTTAGTTTTAACAGAAAGCATTTAACAGAAAGGTCTTAGCCAAAGTTTGCTTTCCTGTAGCACTTAAATGCTTGTTCCAATAATGTGTTGCTGATGGGATCGTTAGGTATAACATGCTAGCATTTCTTTTGTTCACTTACAGTAGTATGCTCCTAATGGAGCTGTGGGACTTGGGATGATTCCCAAATGGGGGAGTTGTTGCCCTGAAGGCAGGGATACCCAAAAGAGCAAAGGGAATTAAATACTCAAATTCAATTCCCTTGAGTTCTTTTGATAATCCCAAGTGGAATTGACTTGTTGAAAGTAGGAACCAGTCCATCTTCCACTATACCTACCTTCCACAATATAATGGAAAACCATTTGCTGCCATTTGGTTATTTTTAAAAAGCGGCTTTTTCCCCATTTGTCTCAACTGCTCTGAGCTATTGCCCACTCTAAATTAGAGGTGGATGTGAGCTTTCACAGTCAGGTCCAGGTTTTAGCTGCCCTAAAATTACAGTGGGGTTTTTGTTTGGTATCAGCTCCCTTTAAAATGCTTGTTTCAGGAATTTGTAATCTGAGTGCTTCCATCAGAAAACGCTCTTATGTGTTAGTGAAAAATGATGATTAACTGGGTCATTTTCTTCCCTGCATGCACTCTGCCTTCCACATATCCACCTGTATGCCACTTCCTGGCCAACTTTGACATCTGTGAATAGATCTAAGAGTGTGTCCATGTGAATCTTTCAGGGACCAGATACGGCAAGGCCTAGAAGAGCTGCGGAAGGTTCTGCCAGGGGGTGACACTTACATGCACGAAGGATTTGAAAGGGTAAATAGACCAATCTTAAATTGCGTTTGCAGGGTCTTTGAGCAAAAGCAAAGGGATTAATCAAGCTTCCTGCCCTTCCATATGGGTAAGTGGCATCCTGAAGCAAAACAATTGATCAGTGGGTTCTGTAAGCAGGTGTTGCACCGATGAGGCTGGCAGAATTTGGGTTGGAATAACCTTCAAAGTTGTATCTTGCCATGTCCCTGCCTTCACTGCTGGGGACCTCGCCTTCAGGAGTAGGAAGTGGGCATGTAACAGCTGAACGCTGGCTGTGCAGCTCCAATTGGAGTTAAAGGGGGAGTAGAGCAGCAAGAGACCCCAGGCCAGCATGGAGCTTTGGTGCAGTGGGCAAGCTGCCCACCTGGCAGCCCTCTCTTCCTCTGGTCTTCCACTGCTGAAGACTTGATCAGGTCAAACGTTTGCATCTAAACTCCCCAAGGGTTCTTTTGTGTGTTGCTCCCACCTCCACTACTTATATCTTCTGAAGGATTGGGGAAGCATTTATGTCCAGCTGATGAAGATGAATTGAATTCCTGTATTACAGCACATGGGGAAAACTACAGCACATTCCAGGCCGTGTGGAGGTCTAGCTGAGAACGGAGACACAAATCTGTCTAGAAGCAAAACTCTCAGATCCAAAGATCCCCCAAATTTTGCCAGTGCTTGAACTGCAGGTGCAGCTTTAGCCCCATCTTTTCATTCCAACCTGAGATGCACAGCGAAAAGGGTTAACAGTTTGAAAGGATCTTCAATTGCAGAGTAGAAGCTACATATGCTAAAAATGCTGTCTCATGCTTCACAACTTTGGTGTCACTTCCCATCTCCCCACATGTCTGGAGCAATCGCTAAGTACCACAATTATTCAATTGTTACTAATACTGTTCTGATTTAATTTCAGGCAAGTGAACAGATTTACTATGAAAATGTTCTAGGTAAGAGAGAATTGCTTGAGCTATTAACTATCCTTCCCTGCTGCACGTCCCCCACTCCCCCTTCTCTTTATATCTTCTTAGATTTCATAGACATTGGGCTGGAAGGGACCTCACGAGAGCATCGGGTCCAGCCCCCTGCCCAAGGGGCAGGAAATCAGCAGGGGTCAGATCACCCCAGCAAGATAAGCAATCCATATCTTGCCTATGTGCTTGACTTCTGTCCAGGACCCACACTCCTTTTCAGGAAAGGGGTGTGACTAATCCCTTTTACAAGAATTCAGAATACAGCGACATGTCCTAAAGAGGGCAGGGCGGAACTGTAAGGCACTAGACCTGTACCTTGAATATATTTTATATAAAAACAACAAAGAGGCTCGTTCATGAAAAGATGTAGATTGTTGCTCAGTGGGATTTTTCAGAGATGCTTGGGTACCTAATTCTCCATGATCTATCTCCACCTTTTTGTGTGGTTTCTGTCAAATATTTCATCATCACTGCAGGATCATCACTAAGGATCTTGAGAAGTTGTTGAAGTTTCACTTCACTTTTCAAGAATCAATTAATAGACATAATCATAAAATTCCAGTTATTTGTCATTGGCAGTTTTCAGAATATCCTTGGTTTCTCCACAACAAAATAGCTCTGAACATATTCTTTTCCAATTTGAAAACCAGACATTTGGAAAAAAACATTAAACTGCAGTTTCACTGTTCATGTGTAATCCAGGACATCAGAACTCTTTCAGATTTTGAGCAATGTGCTGTTGCCAGAAATTTAAATTAATCTTATTCATTGCTGCTGTAAACTTACATTAATAAAAAGAGCCCCTGTGCTACAGTCAATACAGTAAAGGATGATTCCAGTCTTCCTGTCATAACTCCATTACCAGTAAATAAGATGTGAAAGGACAAGGAAGAATTAAAAGAATTTAAATCATTTTTCTACCTAAATTTTATTAAATACCAGCTCAGCCTTTGTAGCATAAATGGAATGTCTCCCTGGGTTTTGAGAAATGATAGATACCATCAATAAAACAGGAAGTAACTGGAAATGCTTTTTAAGCAGTTTGTAAATGTTGCCACACTTTCAGGCAAACTATTAGGTTGAACTACAGTAATATTTATAATAAGGTGCCAGGTTAGAATGACCGAGTCATTTCTGTGAGGAGCAGAAGATAAATGCCTGGAAAATAGATACATGCAAGAGACGGATGGTATTTAGAACTGGCAAAAAAATATATCATTGACATTTGGGGCTTTTTAAATGTGGGTTGTTAACAGGGGAGCATTTATCAAGTAAGAAATGTAACACTTGTGTTCCTTTTAAACTCGTTAGTTGGGTGTTGTGTTAATCCATGTAGTACTCAGTGCCCTTAAATCCTCTTTGTTCAAGAAGTTTGTTTGTTTAGGTTACAGAACTGCAAGTGTCATCATTGCACTGACAGATGGTGAACTCCACGAGGATCTCTTCTTTTATGCAGAGCGAGAGGTAAAAAGATTTACAGTCCAAGCTCTTGAAATAGCAGGTATCAAAGTGTCTGTCTTTGCTGCCAAAAAATAAAGGATACGTAGGCAAAGGATTGTTTTGCCATCAGGGAAGTTCTCAGAATTAATTTAAATGTATATGTTCCTAAGGCTAAACATGAGTGGAAACAACTTGAAGATTTTAGATTTTAGATTTTGCTTTCTAAAGCAAAAAAGCACAATGCCAAGAGCGGTTCTTGAGCTCAGTTGGACTCTGACGGACTGGACAATTTAGTGTAGAAGTGAGAAAGAAGGACCCAACGGACCAGTATTTTAGGGGTTAAACCTCAAAGAAGGATCAGGTTACATTTGATTTTAAAAAGCAAGCAAAGAATTAGGGATTTTCACTTCACTCTCATATCCAAAACATAATTAGGTTAACATACCACATAGAGCATTTATTAAATAAGGTAAAATTCAGCGCTGAAACAGGCACAAAAAGTGCTCGTATTGTTAATATGCCTGGTTGATAGCAACAGTGATGTTGCTAGGGAGGGCTGCACTAATTCCACTCCATGATGCTGTAAAATATAAATTATGATAAATTGGACCTGGAATGAACTATTAAATAGGATCCAATGAAGTGTAGGTTTAAACCCAATAACAATAAAAAGGATCACTATATTGTAGTGTGAAAAACAAAATTGCTAAAACATAAATCCTTGCCAAAAATATACCATTCAAAGTCCCTGAAGTTCAGCTCCAACTTCCCTGGGGATCTTTGATTTCAGAGTGAAAACAAGTTTGTTTAAAGAGACGAATGAAGAAAATTCTCTGAAGAGAAATTCATCAAGAGTAGAGGTCAGAAGTTTTACGTGTGTTTTGTTTGAGGGAGGTACAGGCAATAAGGCATTGGATTTTAGCCTTGCAATGCAAGTCACTTCACTTCTGTGTACTTGACTCTCCTTACTGTAAACTGAGGATAATGTTGTTTGCTGTTTGTAATAGATACTGATACTTGTAAATCAGAATTACTATAATCTGGTGCAAGTAGACTTCCATGGGAGAGGGGGGATCAGGTTCTCAAAGAGCTGGGTAATACAACTGGCATAAAATTTGATGAAACAATCATACAAAGGATAAAAATGTACAATGGAGGATTTAATGCACAATACCACTGATTTATGAACATTGAAGGTGACATTAAACATGCATCCATTAAAGTTATTACCACAGTTTGTATACAAAAACTGTATATAAACTATAGATTGCTGACCCAATAGGCATGGCTCAAAATACTTTAAAACTAAGTTTTGTCCAAAAATTAAGTAGCCTTTTTCTCTTCCATTCTTTGTGATGCTAGAAATAATGAAGTGCTAAATGCACAGATGCTATGGTCAGCAGAGATAGGTGAAAAAATTGATTCCATTTTTTTTCAGGTTTTCAATTGTACTTAGGCATTATGTCAAATTGAAATGGCTGCACATTGGATTTATTGGGTGAAAGAACAACTAGTGTATCATTTTTCCTATCCAAGCAAGTATCCACAGCTGTAGCAATAGGTAAAATTTTTGTTACCTGAATTTAAGACTACAGTTACTGTCATGGTTTTAGTCTACCCTTTTTTCATGCTCCCAATCGTTGATTTTGAGCGGAGTTCTGCTCCCAGCATGGCAGCAGGATTAGAGCATTAAACATACAATACAAAATGCACCATAATCTGCATCCATAATGGACATATCTCTGTTGTTCCAGGCTAATCGATCAAGGGACCTAGGAGCAACAGTGTACTGTGTTGGAGTCAAAGATTTCAATGAAACTCAGGTAAATGAGTCATAACTTTCTTAGGCATTTAGCAAAGGTGGACTAGATGGCCAATGTCCCAGTGTTTTATAGAAAAGTGAAATTCACTGCTGCTACAGAAGCTTTTGGCATTCATGAAGAGAAAAACCTTTTTTCCTGGCTTTTAGAAGTGATCATGAAAAGCCCTGAAGCATGGGATTGCCCAAAACCTGCCACACTGCAGAACAGTTATCTCTGTAACTCAACATTTTCCATTACAGAGTTCTACCACTAATTAAGCATTTGCACATTACCAAAATGAAGCATTTCCATGTTTCTGAATAAAGCCTTTCCTGAATTCCCATTCTTTGGTGAATTTTTAAAAACGAATCTCTCTTCCTTTTGTTTTGGACTGAAAAGTAAAAATGACAGTTTCCTATGGGAAATTCTATTTTCCAGTGCAGCTCTTGGGTTACTGGTCGACTCGGTGATGCTCCTGATAATTCAAACCTGAGTCCATCTTGGCAGAAAACTAACTGGAGAGGAGACATTCCTTGTTCTGTTATAGATTTGCAGGGCATTTCTACTTTGAGCTCATAGTGCAATACTGTGTGACTTTTAAAAATGCCCCACAGAGTTTTGTATAGATACCCGTGGGGAAAAAAAACCCACTGAATGTTGTACAGCTCTAAAAGCAACCTGCCGGATCTGCTGATGGGACTGGGAAGCAACGTAAATTGGGATACATCCTCCAAACTATGGGTTTATTTGGATCCCAGGCTATCATTTAGGTCTCATAGTGGACATCTGATGAAGCAAGAAAATAAAATGTCTGTAGTAAGATGGGGAACGTGGGTTCCACTTTGGACTGGGAATATCTGCACCTGTGTAGCTGTGCCACTGTAGAGTCTTAATGAAAGCGTCTTACTGTAACAGCTTTACATCAGTCTGCCCAGTGGGCAAGATGTTTGCCCTAGAAGCTTGTACTGGACTCACTGGACTTGCAAAAATCTGTGGTATAGAGAATTTCTATAAAAAGACAAAGGAAGAAAAAAACGGGGGCAAGTTGGAGGTGGGGAGAAGAGCTTTAGGGGTTGTAAGCTTGAAGCCCCCAAGATAACCACAACCTGAAGCCATTGAGGCATCAGAGAGATTAAGTAGAGTCTGATGATAAAACTTCATTGTCATTTGAAACCCCTGAAAGCTCTAGAAGCCAGACCAGAGAGAATGAATTCAGGAAACTATAAACATCCACCAATTTACTGTAACTGCTGTATCTTGGCCTGCGATCAGTATGCAGCTTTTCTAACCCAGCCCCCTAGTGCATGGGAAACAGTGGCTGGGAATATTCCCTCTAGGCACAAATCAAGCGGGGGCAGGAGAGGCTTTGTGTGTCTGGGACTGAGGGGAGAGCATTTGTTTTAAAGTCCTCTCTAAGTGGGTATTTTTTATATCTCTAATAAATATAACTGATTGCCAGGAGCTGGAAGGGTGGGGCCTGCTGGGTTTTGGGAGGAATGTGTGACAAGTAAGGGTGCCTTCAATTTGCATTACTGCAGGAAAGGCCAAGCGCAGGCCTGCCGAATGATGTTACCCCTGCCATTCGAGGGAATTGCTGAAACAAATGTCAGCCTCACAGCAGTAAAATTTGATTCTGCACCAGCTGATGCATGGAGAGCTCGTTATCCCTGAACTGTTCTCACCGATTGCCTTAACCCTTAGCATACTGAAGATGAACAAATTGGTCTTAAGCTCTTCCCACTCTCAGTTCCTCTCTTCTCCAAACATGTGAGGCCCCAAAATGTCCTTCTGGTACTTGTTTGCTCCTCTTGCCACCTACACATTCTCCCATTGACCCCTGGGCACCTGAACCTGCCGGATGTGAGGCAGTGAGGGGATGATGCCTTCCACCCACATTGGGAGATTATTGGTTTTTATGGGTAGGTCTGTGCACAGAGAAGTACAGAGGCAGGGGTGTAGCTTCTAAGCACAGGAGTGTCTCTTTATCTTTAAGAAGACTGCTCACATGCTTGAAGTTCTTCTGCGTGTGCTTATGGGCTTTGCTGGCTTGGTTCTGACAGTGCCACGCAGAGGGCACTGGGTTTAATTCCTAGAATATGCCGTATCCTGCCTCATGTCCAGGAACCATCTCTGGTTCCCAGCACTGCCCAGGCTCAAAGTGCAAACTATTAAGAAATTGGAGAAACAATACAGCATGTTAGCAAGCCACGCTCTGTCCAGTGCTTAAGATATTTATTCTATTTATTTTGATTTTTATCATGTCCCGGAACCACCTCTGATTCCCAGCACTGCCCTTTAAAATTAACCAGGTTCAAAGTGCAAACTGTTAGGTAATTGGAGAAACATTACAGTATGTTAGCAAGCCATGCTCTGTCCAGTGCTTAAGATATTTATTTTGATGTGTAAGTGGATTTAGCAAAAGAACTCTCCTTATTTCGCTGTCCATTGGCTAATTTATCCCATGTTTACTTTTTCTTTTTTTTTTTCTTTTTTTTTAATTTTTATTTTTTGCTGCTCTGTCAGCTGGCTCGAATTGCTGACAGCAAGGATCATGTCTTTCCTGTGAATGATGGATTTGAAGCACTACAAGGGATCATAGACTCTGTAAGTATTAATCTTGGGATTGCTTGTGTATATATTTGTACATCTGGAACAAAGGATTTTATTACTTTTTTCTGCTGAATAATCAGCAGTAATTTTTTCTTCACTATAGCCCGATGGTGACTTTGACCCTGTTTTTCTTGTACAAGTGTTTCTACTGTGAAATTACCTGGTCACATATCAGAACTGGGCATCAACTAACAGAAACAAATAAGTGAATTACTTTCTCTTCTGTTTTGGCCTTAACCTCTCCCCTGCACAAGGATCTAATTGAAAGTTTCACAGTACACACTATCTCTGGTGTCCCCATTGGCTACAAGAATTACTTTGCTCAATATTCCAGAGATATAAGCAGCAGCTACTGCGAATGTTGCTACCATCATTTTGCACATGAAATAACTCAATGTGGGGGAGAGGATTAAGGTCGCATGCTGGGTGAATGGCAGAGCAGCAAATAGCTTTCCTGTCCTCCTGGTCTACATTAGTACGCACCCCTTCCTGGAAAGAACAAGGCCTCTGTTCTGCTTCTCCACTTTCTGCATGTTCAGTATCCTTTTGTCTTGGCAGCTCTACCGCACTACTCCTTGATTTTTTTTTTTGACTCTGTGTAATATCCCGTCCTTCCGCACAGCTCTGTACTATGCCACTGCCTAGATACTTGACTTAAAACTACACCAGAGAGAGCACTAGAAATTATCATTACTTCTCCTCTTCACTAAAGAAGCTGCAGCAGTGAGATGATGGGAAAGAGATAATATTACTGGCTGTCTTGGACTCGTACAAAGCCAGCTGTCTTCTCTTGGAAGTTCTTGATCTCTTAAACAGCCCATTTCTCTTCAAGGCTTTTCCAACTGGGATTTTCTGTGTAGTAGTGTTGAGAAGCAGTTAAGGAAACACAACTTGCCAAGAGGGTTGTGATAGTGCAGACCCTAGTACCAAGAATGGCAAGAGTGTTGGGCCCTGAAGTAAAATAGAGATTGTAGCAGATAGTAATGCACACCACAGACTAATGTACGGGCCCCAGCTCTGCCTGCCTCAGTTTAGAATTAGGATTCAAATTGGGTTCACAGCTCCAGTGGCTCTCTGAGCGGTTCCTGTCTGACTTGAAGCCAGAACAGAAAGAGCAGAACTAGGAGACCGTATTCTCCATTATCAAATAACAGAGTGAAAAATATTGCAAGTATCCTCCAGGAAATGTCCTATTTTTGGCTCATTTGGGGTTATTTTCCTCCTTTGGTCACTTGTAGCGTGTTACTATTCTAACTACGTTTCCCACGGCTACGAAGAGAGACGGGAGAATCCTTTTAGAAATGTGTCTGGAGAGGGGAGGGGAGGGTGTTATCCATTTAGCATGGCCTTTTTTGTTGTTGATACAAACCTGGAACAAATGGGCTGGATTCTGCTGTGGGCTAGGAAAGTCAGGTTCACAAAGGGGATCTCAAATTTCTGTGTATAGAGTAGTTACATGCTATCCTGACCGCGTAATATCAAGCAAAAGCTGTTCCCTGTGGGACATGCTCTATTTTCCCTAGCACTTTTGCTTGCAGCAACAATTTGATCCTATAGCTATTACTGGTTTTCCTGACATTCTGCAAACATGGGGGTACTGCCCCAAATTCTCTTAGGCTATCAGGTGTTGCGTGTCATCTTGGAAAAAAAACAACAACAAAAAATGAGCCTTAGGTCTCATCCTTGCACTATCTTTGCGAGCTGCCTTTAATGAAATCCAGAGGAAGCTCTCTCACTCTTCAGATTTATCACATATAACCATATAGACTTCAGACTTTTGGGGAGTCTCATTCAGAACTAAATCAGTTGACTGCTGCTGAATTTACCATCTGTAACTGAGCAGAGTCTCCAGAAAGTGCAGCACTTCCAGGACCATATTTGCAGTGGGTTTGTGAGTAGAGGACAACAGTGTATCTGCAAGATCAGGGTGGATTTTCTGTAAGAAATGTATGCTTTTTGGTCACTGGTGCATCAGAAGAAGTTCCATCAACATTGCCTGCAGAAGATCCTCCAAATCCAGTGGGATATTGAGGCGATGATCATCTGACATCAGTGTTGTTGGACTGGTCACATCATCTGAATGTCCAACTTCAGACTTCCAAAGCAATTTTTCTTCTCCCAGCTCAACCAAGGCATATGCTGAGGAGGAAGGCAGAGAAAGTACTTCAGGGACATCCCCAAGGCCAGCCTAAAAAAATACAACATTGATGTCAACTCATGAGAGACTATTGCCCAGGACTGCCTCAAATGGAGGAAGAGTCGGTGACAGGGATCTCAGTACTTTGAAACCTCGTGACAACAACAGGAGATGGAAAAGCGGGAGCAGCAGAAACACTGTCACAGACCAAATCAAGAATCTAGCACCACCCACCCTGCACAGAAACACATGTCTGACCTGCAGTAAAATCTGTTCATCCCAGATAGGCCTCATCAGGCATCTTCAGATGCACATGTAGCAGGCTCACCTTTCAGAGCTTGGGTTGAGTCCCAGGCTTGAGATCCTGCTGTTTTGATTGGTGGAGCCCATCCACCAATCGGGATGCAGCAAGAGAAATAAAGTCATGCCCCTTTCCTGAGGGGAGGGGAAGAAGAGCTCCCCCAGACCTGATTGAAGACTGTAAACTGTCAGGTCAGAGTCTTCAGGGGCGGAGCCTGTAAACTTCAGGGGCGGAGCCTTGGAGTGTATAAAAGGAGCTGCCTGCTCACTATGAGGGGCAGATGTGGCGGGATTCAAGAAGAGCGGAGCCAAGAAAAGCTAGGGAGCTCTCCCCCAGGGGACAATCGGCCCAAGGCTCCTGAAGCCGCCACTGGAGGAGCAGCCTTGGGAGCAGTGTGAGACCGCTTGAGCTGTTGACGGCACATGGGGACGGTGTGGGGAGGCCTAGACTTGGGAGTGGCGTGAGACTGCTTGGGCCCATCATGCTGCGCGGTTCAGTGCACGGAGCCCAGGCAAGCAGTGACTCGAGCCTGCAACCCTGGCAGGGCCAGTGGACCACACAATGCACAGGGCAAGGGCCTTGGGGGCCTCAGTGAGGTGGCTCAGGCTGCATCTCCCAGCAAGCAGCCAGGTCCCACAGTGCACAGGGTGGTGCATGGGCCCAACCTTGGAAGCCAGGGAGCAGCGGAGTCTGCTTGGGTTAGCCACCCGGCGTGAGAATGAACAGACGGAGCCTGAAGGGCCCAACCTGTGCTAAAAGACTGTGTTGAAGCTGAATCCAGGGCAAGGGGAAATAGTAGTGCTGCAGCATGAGGCCCAGAAGCCAGCAGCGGTGGTGCAGTAGCTGGAAGGAGCTGAGCCCTTGGTGCCTGGAGCAGGGCACAGGGTGAGGAGGAGCCCAGTGGTGCAGGAGAGGCCTGGAGAGGCAGTCCAGCAGAGGAGACCCCGTCGAGCTGTGCCCTGACCACTGTCACCTGAGGGAGAGTGAGTCACTGGGCCCTTGGGTCCCACAGGGGAAAGACGTTTGGGGTGGGCAAACCCAGAGAAGGAGCTGAGTGAGCAGCCCCCGCATAGTCAAGGCCTTAAGGGGAGGGGCCCCTGGTACTTCCTGGACACCCCCCAAGGGACCCCATTGGAAGGAAAGGAGGACTATCTTCTGCCATGGGTCAGGGACTATATTAAGTATAGGTGTTATTAAGATTGCTCCTGTTTGCGCCTTTATGTTTTGTAATTGAAATGTTGTATTGTGTTGATGCTGCTGAAATTGTTTTATTGTGATGGGTAGCTAGTGTTATTTAGGGTTTGACCTTGGTTTTTGGTTAATGTTCAGTGTGTAAATATATGTGTATGATATTTAGTTTTATGAATATGTATATTATAACTCAATAAATTGTATATAGTATATATACATATCTCAACCCTTACATTTGGTCTGCCGGTATGCCATATATGTTTGCAATAGGAAACTTGAAGGTGGAACACATTTTCTCCCAGTATTCTTTTATGGGTACAAACCAAGGACAAATTCTACTCTACTGAGTTCACCTTGCAAGTGTATTCCAAGAACCAAAGCCTTTTTTTTTTTTTTTAACAAAGTGTGTCCTGGGATTTCTCTGCATCACATCCATGCTGCTCATGGGACTGCCACCAAGCAGGGTTCCCTATTCACTCACTCCCTGGAAATGAGTTTTTCCAAAAATCTAGTAGGTCTAATAAAACTTTTAAAAAATATAGTTTGTCTAATAAAAAAATCACCTCTACCACAAGTTCTGGTTTCCTGGAAATGAGGCATTGTAACTAACTGCCTTAGAGTAGTCCCAGCACATGTCCTAGCACCGTTCTCAGGCACTTGCTTGGGCATGGTTCTTGGGATATTCCCAGGGCTGCTCAAATGGGTGAGTGGGTGAGGTGAGCTGCTCATCAGCCTTCCAGGATACAGCATGGATGTAAAGTAGACGTTCCCTTTCTCTTTCCTTGAGGTGATCATGTGCTTTTGCAGCCAGCTCCCCACGTAGGGCTCTAAAATGGCTCATGCCAATGTTGACAATGCATCTATCAGCATTGTGCATGCAGCTGAGTTGAGAGAGACTTGGTTATGCGGCCTGCAACACAGATTTCCTAAGTATACAAAATTTGGGGGCTGCCCAAACTTTCACATGATGTTTGGGAAGATCTTTTTCATACATAAAGAGCAACTACCTATCTTACATTTCTAGTTCATTTTCTGTGTGGTCATGCTTTATGATCGCTCTTTTCTTCCCACCCCCAAATCCATCTCTCCAATTTTTTTTCTTCCTATTCAGCCAATGCTAGCAATGCTGGAGAGGGGAAGTACTGTGTAAATAAAATAAATTAATTGCTGCTTTATAATTATCTACAGATTTGGCTTTGCAGCACTTCACAGAAGCTTTAGATAATCAGTACCTCCACTTAGACTGAAGGTCATTTACACTAATATAGACAGACATTAATTTTCTGCTACTTATCCACGTCCTGTTTGCTCATTAAAAGCTCCCAACTCAATAGAAGCACAGTTAATAATAATAAAGAAGTCTAGCTGCTGTAGTGAAGAAACCTGGTTTAACATGGCACCTGATGACCTAGGACAAGCCTTAATATTTATAACTGTATCATGTAGCCACACAAATACTTAGCACTGTCCAAACTGGCTACAAATAGTAGCTTAATAAGCTTCCCAGCATCCTGTTGAGTGTGCAGCATGAGCAATATTCCTATGATGCATGCTGGAAGATGGAAGCAGTGAAACTAAACTTTCTTCTTGGGATAACACCATTGAAGTGAATGGGATTCAACTATGATGTCTGTAGAGTAGGGATGGAATTAAGTCAAGGCAACAGGACCAAATGCCACTCAGCAGATCCCAGAGTGAATGCGAATTGAAACTCAGCAGGTCATCACCTGAATGCTGGACTGGATTGGTCATGAGAACAGAATTCAGTGATCAGCCTGGCCCACTGAGTGCACGGTAGGAGTGATTCATAGATGTTTGGCTTGGAAACCAACTGAATGATCTCCTACACTATTTCTTTGCCTTCATGAGCCAGGTTGCTTTGCCGCTCCAGTGCAGTTCAGCAATGTACAGGTTCCTTGACTGGTATCACTTTCCATTGTGCAAAAAGGGTAGGAAAGAGTTCCTGTTGAAATGATTGCCTAATACTGACAGGACTTTATTAATAATGTTAGGCTTCTAAGAATGTAGGCATTTTATAATTATTAAAAAATGTAATTAATATTGCGAAGAACATTATACAAAGCCACAAGGGCCAGATTTTTTAAAACTCTTGTTCACTGAAGCTGGCTAAAGTATGATAGTGTTTTAAAACAACTGAATACAGGTTACAGATTAAAACTAATATTTGTTCTGGGCATTTAAAAAATGTTTTTTAAATCTTTGGTGAAAATATTATGCCAAATTTTAATTTTTTTCATAGTTGGTAGGGTCGGAAGGGACCTTGACAGATCATCAAGTCTGACCCCCTGCCATGGCAGGAAAGAGTACTGGGGTCAAACGACCCCAGCAAGGTGTTCATCTAGCCTTCTCTTAAAGACCCCCAGGGTAGGAGCCAGCACCACTTCTCTTGGAAGTTGGTTCCAGATCCTAGCCGCCCTGACAGTGAAGTAGCGCCTCCTGATGTCTAGTCTGAATCTATCCTCGGCCAGCTTGTCACCGTTATTTCTAGTCACTCCTGGTAGTGCTTGGGGGAACAGAGATTCCCCCAATGCCTGCTGGTCCCCCCTGACTAGTTTGTAATAGGCCACTAGATCCTCCCTCAGCCTTCTCTTGTGGAGGCTGAACAGGTTCAGGTCCTGTAGCCTCTCCTCGTAGGGCCTGCCCTGCTGCCCCCTGATCATGTGGGTGGCCCTCCTCTGGACCCTCTCCATGCTGTCCACATCCCTCCTGAAGTGCGGCACCCAGAACTGGACACAGTACTCCAAATGTGGCCTGACCAGTGTCGCATAGAGGGGGAGCATCACCTACTTGGACCTGCTTGAGATGCATCTGTGGATGCATGACAAGGTGTGGTTGGCCTTCCTGACTGTGTCCCCACACTGTCGGCCCATGTTCATTTTGGCATCAATAATGACTCCAAGATCCTTTTCTGCCTCTGCACTGATGAAAAGGGAGTTCCCCAGCCTGTAGGTCTGCTGCTGGTTCTTCCTCCCCAGGTGCAGCACCTTGCACTTGTCAGTGTTGAAACCCATCCTGTTCTCATCCGCCCACCCCTGTAACCTGCTAGGTCCAACTGCAGCCAGTTCCTCCCTTCTAGTGTACCCACTTCCCCCCACATCTTAGTGTCATCAGCAAATTTTAATAGGGTGCTTTTTACCCCCTCATCCAAGTCACTGATGAAGATGTTGAACAGTGCGGATCCGAGGACCGAGCCCTGGGGGACCCCACTGCCCACATCCCTCCAGGTCGAAAATGATCCGTCCACCACCACTCTCTGGGTGCGGCCCTCCAGCCAGTTAGCGACCCAATTTTGATGTCTTATTGTTTCTTTTTCCTCTTCCAACCTCTCTCTTTCATTTTGCTGCTAAAAAGGATAAAGAAAAAGGAAAAAATGCTAACCAAAGAAAACAGGTTAAAAAAGATTTTGGTTTTAAGTTCTACCAAAAGACATTAAGGTAAATTTGGGTGGAGGGAAGACAAATGTCCATGTGAAGTCTCCATTTCTGAAAGAGAGTCATTTTCAAGGGGAAAAAAATTGGAAAAATATCAACCTCTCAGTTATTTGCATAAACTAATAACTTCCTTCATGAATGGTCAGTGGGGCCGGGCCACATATGGTACCCAGGAGCATGTAAAGTTGATGCGAGAGTATGGCTGTAGGATGGGTGGGATAGCATTTAGGGAGGTATTCTGTCATGTAACATATTACAGCATCTAGTATTTTTTCCCGAATCCACTTTCAATCCTTCTGATGCTTGTCAGTTGTACTCTTGACTGTAAATCCTACTCTCACTCTCTCTACCCACTTTTCTCTCTCTCTTTCTCCTTGGCAGTTCCTGTTTCCATCTGGACGGCCTCTTTGCTCTAGCAAAGCTTCTCTTTCTTTTCCCAAGCACTGTCAGCAGCTCACATGGACCTGATTCCTTCTGTCCCTTGGTATCCTTGCAGCCTCTGCCGTCACTGCTTCTAAGTACAGTAACCAATAGGCTCTTCAAAAAAAGAAAAGGAAAAAAAGGAGAAACCCAAACTATTCCATAGCTACATCTGTACCTTTTGCAATCAGGTATTTCTGACACACAGATCAGCTTGCAATTGCAGCAAAATCCCAGATTGTCTATTTTCTTAACATAATTTACTGTATTCGCTGTAATTTTTTCCCTTACAGATGGTTCAGTTTAAGGTTGGGAAAAATATTTTGCTGCTGGATTGAGTCTCAGTACTTGGCTGACACTTGCCGGCCTGTTGGAGCTGGCTAAAACTTGATCTGCTGAAGTGCAGCCTCCTTAAGGAACTGATCCAAAGTGCTGCTAAAGACCCACAACAACTGATTACAGCCTGTCCAACTGATTACAGCACTACTTAGTGCAGACAGTGAAGCACTGGGTGTTAGGAGCTGTTTGCAAAGAACAGCTTGAACAATGTTAGCACAGCCTGTGAACAGTGATGTTCCCCACCTAGTATATGAAGTTAGATGTAGTCAACTCAATTTTCTAATTGTTTTATATAGCTTGAAGCTTGTATTGGTTTGGTTAAATCAGTACAGAAGTCCCTGCATACATATTATTTCATAGAATGATAGACAGTGAAGGTTGGAAGGGACCCCTAGGAGGTCATCTAGTCCAACGTCCTTGCTCAAAGCAGGACCATCCCCAACCAGATCATCTCAGCCAAATGTACGTGAGTTTAGCGTAAACATAGTTCAAATTGACTTAAATTAAGATGATACAACCCTGCCTAAAGGTCGAATGAATGCATCCATACACCTCTTGATTTCAAGTTGTACTTTTCAGTACAGCTCTGCATGTCAACAAGTCATTAGCTGGTGGGCTGTCAAAGTTGAAAGGTTTTACCAGTATAGTTATGTTAATAGATCTATGGAAAAACAATTATGCAATTGTCCTGACAAAATTCCTAACGCAGATACGCTGGTAAAATACCCTTGTGCTTATAGCAAGATAACATGTACCTTTAGTATTTGCTATAAACAATAGTGTATTCTGTTTGGGGAACTCTTTTAAGCTGATACCTGATAATTCAGAATGAATACCTTTCCCATTATAACTTATCAGCATTTGCCAGTATAATTCTAAGACTTCACTTATACCTGCAAACCGTTTTACAATACAGAAAAGCTCTTAGGGTCAGATTCTCATTTGCATCAATCTAGCAATTGTAAAGAGATTTAAAAGTGTATGTGATTTGCAGTACAAAGGGCTCTTTTAGGGTATATGAGAGTAAAGGTTTCCAGAGTCAAGTGTTTTCTAGAGTGGTGTGTACTCCCTGAGAGGAGAGGATGTTGAGATATTTTATCATACATCTTCTTTTCTTGTTTCCTGGCTTCCAGATTTTGAAGAAATCCTGCATTGAGATTCTTGCTGCAGAGCCTTCCAGTATATGTGCAGGCGGTAAGTTTAAAGCCATGTGGACTACTCCTCACTGTTTACCAGAGTAGTTGTCTGCCCACCCATTCTTTGTTCCTAAGGAGCCTAGAAAGGTTCAACTGACTCAAGTTCAATCTCTTCTTTTTTTTTT